CTTGCTCGGCCACCTGGGCACACTGCTGGCTCATGTTCAGTTGGCTGTCGACCAACACCCCAAGATCTTTTTCCGCCGGGCAGCTTTCCAGCCACTCCTCCCCAAGCCTGTAGCATTGCATGGGGTCGTTGTGACCAAGGTGCAGGACTTGGCACTTAGCCTTGTTGAACCTCATACAGTTGGCCTTGGCCCATCGATCCTGTCTGTCCAGATCCCTCTGCAGAGCCTTCTTACCCTCAAGCAGACCGACACTCCCACCCAACTTGGTGTCCCCCTTCTCCTGCCCCTGTCCTCCTTTTCCTTTCTTCCCATCTCTCAGTGACAGCCTCCAGGAGCTCTCAAGCTGGCAGCTTGATGAAGGAAAACTACTGCCTGCCTCAGCAACTGAGGATCTCCTCTTGGTCACTGGCTTGCTACACACACTGCAGCAAGGCACCACGGACCCACACCTCCATAAAGGCTGCTCCATACATAGGGTGAGACAGGCTTGAACTGCAAAGGTTTTTTAAAGACTTGGTCCTCTCTTCCCACACACGAACAACCCTTTCCAGGCCTCAAAGCAAGAGCTGAGCTTCAGCTGAGGGACAGGACAAATGGGGAAACATCGTTCAGATGAAGAAGTCCTGCTCCTCGGAACGGGGAATGCTGTGTGTTTTCTCTCATAGCATTGTCCACTGCTATCACATGAGTAAAATCTTGGGGAATTTAGTGGCATGAGCTTTCTTCCTTTATTCTCCTCGTTTTGCCTGTTCATTCAGAAGAGGATTGGCTCCTGAAGGCTATTCCTGAGAGGACAATTTCAGATGCCACCACAAGACATCCAGAGAGTGTTGTGAACCTGAGCAAGATATGCAGTGATATCAGCCATGACAGCACACAAATCCAGGAAATTCTATTCACTCATTTTGCAGCCAAAATAAAAGCTTGAAAAACGTAGCTTTTCCCCTTGCACAACGATTCTTGTGCCTTTCTGCTATTCTCAGGTTTGTTTTCTCTTCTGCAGGCTCACAGCACTCACCTGCTGTGGTGGAAATGATTTCTGTTGGTGGCAGCAAGTCCCAGACACAACCTCTATAAACTGGTATTTGCATTAGCACTGACTTACCTGGCTGCAAGCTGGGCCTAGCTTAATTGGTGCAAAATGCACATCTTTGCTTGTTTGCACAGAGGGAAGGACTAGCATCCTTCCTAGGATGACATGCCAGACTGTAACTGTCTTTTTGAAAAGGAAGGAGTGAGCATGCCACTGGAAATCTTGCAGAGGTGTTGACTTAGCTGTTCTGTTCTCAGTGGCAGTTGAGACTCACTGCTCTTTATTTGTATTTCTTTCAGCATGACACAGCTCCTGGCTTTGCTGCAGGCCATTGAAATTCTCTGTGGGTGCTGTTTTTGCTACCTGTGCTGCAGAGAAGTGACTCATGCACTAGAGTTTCCACTAGACAGATTCCTGTACAATAAAGGCCGTAACTGGGGGAAATTTCCTGTACAAATAAGCCCTTCAGCTAAAATGGGCTCTGAAGATCCTAATCCGTACGGTGTAAACCATGAGGGTACGTGGCCTGAGCTCCTGGAGGGCTCATTTTCCTAGGAATCAAGCAGGCTGTGTGAAATGAGGCTGAACTTCCCTTGCTTTAGGATGATGGTGTTGCTAACGGACTTCCCAGCAGGGCTGGGATGTATGCCAGAAGCCAGGCTGACAAAGATTAAAGGCTTCATCTGAGCTAGGAGAAGGATTTCCTTTCCATCCACCACCTGCCATGCTCTTCTGGTCTGGTCTGTCTTCTCTGTGCATGGGATGAGTGAGCCTCATAGCATGGGGTACCCAGCATTTTCCTCCCCTTGCAAAGAGAGGATGAAAGTGTGGCGTTCCAGGGGAGTCTCCCGTGCCTGGCTCATCTCTGATCTCCCCTCAGGTTTTTCTGGTTATTCTGGTTCTGTCTCTTACTTGCCTTTATTTCTCTCATGCGTTTTTTCCTGTTGATTTTGTTCTCCAGATGACCTGCCATTTTAAATTCTCATCTCCCCGTAGTTTTTCCTTCATGAGTCTGTATCTCCTTGCTCTGTTTCCTTGCTTCTGTGTGACGTACAGCAGTCTCTGGCCAGTAATCAAACCAAACTTCATTTGAAGGCAAACATGGTAGAATTGATTTTGATGCACTCATTGCTTGCACCAGTATGACTGCAACAGTAGCTGCCACCAGCTACAAGGATGCAGGTGTCATACCAGTGTAGACCAGACCTTCACTTTGCCCCTCTCCACTCTGTTTTCTTTTTATTAATGCTTTTTTTTTTTTTTTTCATGGAGAGGGAGAACTTTCTTGTTCTGTTTTATGATCCTCCTTCATTATTGTCCATTGATATTGTGGTGATAGTTAGGAGACCTCAGCGTGCGTGGTATTGGCACCACTGAGGGCACTGTCAAGGACATCAATGCTGAGAACTTTCCACCAACCTTGCTGTTCTGACAACTTCTCTGGCGTGGTGGCAATCTTGTGAAGCATACCGGGGGATGGGATCAATGTGGCAGCTTCATCTTCTTTTCCAACTCTGCCTCCTGAATCACAGTCACATTCTATCAGGCTTATTGCATCCTCACAGCAGCCAAAGTAACAATAGTTTTTTAATCTCCAGTTTCCAGCTGTTTCAGTGTTTGCATGAGTACAGATACTCTTTACCTGTGTCAAAATAGGTTGTGTCTTAGAAGAAAGCCCTATCCACCTGCCCAGTGTGCTGCCACACAGCCTCACAGGTACTCCTTTCCTGCCTAATGGTAAGGATGACAGGATCCAGGACTGGAGGAGGTAAGAATATCCATTAACACCGCCAAGACAAAGGTTCTGTGGCTGTAGCATAGAGCAGTTTGGGAGTTCATGGCCATTCACTGTTGAGGGCAGGAGGACTTTCCTACACTGTCATGCTGACATGAATATCCATACTATTT